GTCAGCCTGCATAGCTCTATTCCTGAGAATGATATCTGGATACCACCAAAGGAAAAAGATGCAGTTCTGTCCAATGGAAACTTATTATTTGCACTTCACACACACACACACACACACACACACACACACGTAAAAAAAAACTGGTTAGCACTAAGACCAAATATATGGGAAAAATGCAAGACACTCAAAACTTTAGGTTTAAAGACTAGTTCACTAACACGTAATAACTGAAGTGGCCCAGTATTCAAACACATGTTAGTGTATTAGCATGTTACCAAGATTATTGGTATTACAAGTTATAAATATCATATACAAAGTATAAATACGGCATAACCAAAAGTACACCTCATTTCTTCCACAAAGAATTATAAATAGATGCTACAAGTATCTGGCAATAGAAGACACCAATTTTGGCCAACCTAATTTCTCTCAAAATCACATGTAGTGCTATGTTTTCCATGTGAAATACCTTTAAGGACTGCTGGAATCGCAGAGATTCTCAAACAGTGCTCTGGCAGAGTGAATCAGAACTAGACTCTGTATCTACATCCTACTGCACGCTTCCTTCTCTTCAGAGAAAAGGTTGGTCTACTTCGTAGGATTCAAAGGGCGATAAAAAACCTTCCTCGGGCCAATCGTTTACCCTACTAAGAACTAAAAGGGATAATATCAAAAAAAAATTTAGCTATTTTTACCTCGTCTAGCTGAAAATTAAATATCATAAATGATTTTTTTTTAACCCTCGCTGAAGCTAAGGCAACCAATGAGTTGTGTAACCTCTTGGAGAATTCAAACTCAGAGCCCAGAATCAAACCTGTGAATATTTTGGGGCCGGGGATGAGAAAAACTAAAGATTTCCCAAGAAAGAAAACAAGAAGGGACTTTCAGTGACAAGCCTGTACTTCAGTAAATCTGGTTTTAGTACCCCACCTACTAATCCGATGCCAAGCACCGCGCGGCGCGGAAAGCCTGCCGAATTTGAAAATAAACGTTGCAAAGGCTCCGGGGGACTGCAAACGGGGATGGAAACTGACAGCTTGGCCTCCGAGAGAAGCCTCAAGTAGGTCAAACTGTGGCAACCGTCTGCAATCCCGAGTCCACTTCAGTGGGCTCAAGGGAGTCGAGAGGCGTCTTTCAGTCCTAAAGGGGCGGGATATGGGCACCGAGACCTACAAGCCCGAGCCCCGGCGGTTCGCCTGCTCTCACCTCTCTTGGGGGCCTTGATCAGAGGCACCCCTCCGCTCCTCTCGCCGTTTTCCTGCTTGTCCTTGTGCTTGAGATCGCCCGGAACGCAGGCGCCGGGGTCACCATCGGAGCCGCGGTGGTGATGGTGCTTGTGCCGCTCCTTGTGGCCCTTATGCTTGGGCCCGGCCGCGCTCACCGTCAGGGGCGAGAAGGTGAAGAGGGCCGAGGTGCCTGGGGCCGGGAGCGGGGCAGCGACAGCGGGCCCGGCGGGCGCCAGTGACGGTGGCGGCGGAGGCGGCAGGAGCAAAGGCTCAACAGGGCCCGGGACGGTTGGGGCGGCATTCGTTGGAGGCAGCGGCCCGGGATGTTGGCGGCTGCGACGCCGCCGATGAGGGGGAGCGAGAGGGGGGTCCTGACTCGGCCGCCCCCGCTTCTCCTGAGAACCCCCACTGCTCGCCCGGCGTTGCCGCTTGACTCCCCGCGGCGAGACCCCAACATGGGATTTCTCCTTCCCCTCTTTGTCCGGCTCCTCCTGCGCCGCCACCGCCCGTACTACGCGAACCGCTCCGACCTGCGCAGCCATTTCACCCACAAACATACATTTAAATGGCCCGACCGCCCCCCCGTCCGCGTTTCGCGCAAGCGCCGCCCGCGCAGGGCCCGCTGGGCATTGGAGTCTCTCCCCCACCCGCCACTGATCCGTCCTTCTCGTCGAGCTGAACATGCGGGAAACGGCAGTTCCGGCACCTCGCCGCAGACCTCGCCAACCGAGCTTCTATTGTAAAGCGCCCTGGACGCGCAAGGCCTTGCGGGAGTTGTAGTTCCACCGCCCGCCGCGTTCGCCAGCTCTCTGAGTGGAGGAGCAGAGAGGGAGCGTGCGCCCCGGCACGCTTCGGGGGTGCGACGCAACTGCCGCCGGCCGGCGATTTGCCGCCAACCGCCCCAACGGCCCAAACAATGTTAATAGCTTTCGGAGTCTGGCGGTGTGTGTTCAGGCGATCCTCTTCCAGTGTTCCTTCTTCGTCGTACTCGGAGTAGGTGGTCTCCATAGTGACTTTTCAGTTTCGTATTTCTCTCCATAGCCTTTGTGAGGTAAAAGAATCTCCAGCCTTTGCCCTCGACAAACGACTAGGAAAAGAATTTCGGAATATGTGAAAGGACGATTTTGCTGTAAAGTATAGCAGGGCTGCTATTCAGGGAAAAAAAAACAAAATTGAACAATTTTCGGTGGCATTGCTGTGGTTACAGCTACAGACTTAAGGCAGGTGCTAGGCAGTCCCTGAGCGCAGCCCCACCTTGCCAGAGTCACATTTCCCTCTATGGTTGGAAAGGTAGAAACCGGCATTCATGTGGAACATTCAACCATAGTTAACGAAAAGTTCTCGATTTAAATTTTTAAAGTTTTTTTCAATCCATAAATACAAATTTGCAAATGTGATAAGCGTTGTCAGCCTAACTTAAACACTTAAAAAATCGCCACTGTTCATCAGGAGATAGTGCTTACTCAGAAATCCATTTAATAATTGGCTACAATGATATCCTAAGCATATAAGAAGCACTTGGTTTAACACCACTAGTTCCCAGAATAGTAACTTAGGCTGAGTGAACTTCTGCGATAAAAGTGCTAGTTTAAAATAGAGTTCTTGAACACCTACTGGGTATACATCGTACTACAATAAGCAAGTAACAATACCTTTCAGTTAGCTCTAGCATTGGGGTTCCTAATGAAAATTATTAAAGCACAAATAACACTGTTGCTAGGCTGTATTTTCTTAAGTAAAAATATCAAATTGATGAGGAAAGTAAATCGAATCCTTTAAAATAATAAAGATAACTTATTTACTGTGTAAAACTAGATTTCAAATTTATTTAGGAGAATCCATAGTCACACAGAAATACATTTTAAAACTACCAGTACCTTTAAATGATTATGAACATAAATTGCACACGTTTATATGGGGCCTTTTCTGTGAAGAAAACACTATCAAAAAAGAATTTTAAATAATTTTAAAGTGCTACCGAAGTAACTGCTGTTGATTATTTTTCTAGAATTGGTAAATGAATAACTGGTTAAAATTAATAGTTGAACATTGTTATAGCAATATAAAATGATCACTGCCATTATTTGCACATCATCCTCTTTAATATTTCTTTTCTACACATTTGGAAAGACAGGGGAAGTATACTCCATTTTGACAAAAATAACATCCTGGGAACAGTCATTACCACAACCAGTAATTTTGTACTGCAAACACAGGGCAATGGGGTTTTTTGTTTTGTTTTTTTCTTTTGTTTTTTTTAAATAAAACCTTTTAACACCTGTAATGCCAGCATTCTGCAGGTTGAAGTAGGAGGATCATTAGTTTGAGACCAGCCTGAGGCTTCATAGCAAGACCTTGTCTATTAAAGAAAAAAAGTTTAATATTAAGGGAATGTAGAGATTTAGTTGAAGGGGTGGAGAGATGCTCGGATAGTTAAGAGCACTGCTGCTTTGCAGAGGACCCTGGTTCAATTCTCAGAACCCACACAGCAACTCACAGCCAATAATTCCAATTCAAGGGGATCCAACTCCCTCTTCTGGCCTCAATGTGCACTACACGTATGTGGTATATCTCCATACATGCAGGCAAAAACATTTCTACACATAAAAATATTTTAAAGAGAAATTTAGTTAAGATCTAATCCTTTTTTAATTTTTTTATTAAGAGATTTTCTATTCATTTTACATATCAACCACGGATTCCCCTATCCTCCCTCCTCCCACCCCCCAGCTTCCACTGCCCATTCCCACCTCCTCCAAGCCAAGCTGGGAGTCAGCCCAGCCTGGTATATTCCACCTGAGGCAAGTCCAGTTCCCTCTCCCCTATACCAAGGCTGAGCAAAATGTCTCAGCATAGGCACTAGGTTCCAAAAAGCCAGCTCATGCACCAAGGACAGGTCCCGGTCTCACTGCCTAGGGCCCCCTAAACAGTTCAAGCTAAACAACTATCTCACTTATCGAGAGGACCTAGTCTAGTAACCATGGGGCTCCTCAGCTATTGATTCATAGTTCATGTATTTCCACTAGTTTGGCTATTTGTTCCTGTTGTTTTTCCAATCATGGTCTTGATATATATCTCTTGCTCATATAATCCCTTCTCTCTTTCTCATCGATTGGACTCCTGGAGCTCCACCTGGGGCTTGGCCCTGGATCTCTGCATCTGCTTCCATCAGTCACTGGATGAGGGTTTTATCATGACAGTTAGGGTGTTCGGCCATCCGAACACCAGAGTAGGTCAGCTCAGGCACCCTCTCGACCATTGCCAGTAGTCTATAGTCTTTGTGGATTCCTGGGGACCTCTCTAGCACTCTGCTTCTTCCTATTCCCATGGTGTCTTCATTTATCATGGTATAAGATCAAATTCTTACAGGCCTATTAAAATGAGCATTTGTGCTGGGTTTGATTGTGTGCCTTTAATCCCAGCCCGCCAGAGGCCAGGGCAGGAGGACCACTTTAAAGGTTCAAGACTAACATAGAAAGACATCATCTCAAAACAAAAATTCACATTTACAGAGAAAGTAAAATAGCAGGGCTGGAGAGATGGCTCAGCAGTTAAGAGCACTGGCTGCTCTTCAGAGGACCCAGGTTCAATTCCCAGCATCCACATGGCAACTCACAACTGCCTGTAATTCCAATTTCAGGGGATCTGACATCCTCACATAGACATGCATGCAGACAAAACACAAATGTACGTGAAATGAAAATAAATAAATTATAAAAAGTAAAATAGAATAACTTCCAAAACTGAAAAATAAAACCATTTTGAAACATAAACTCAAGTTACAAACTTTATTGGTAATTCCCAACTAAATGTAAAGAATATGAAAATACAAGGTTGTTGAAGTTTTTCACAGATAGCTTTCCTTTTGAGAGCTATTGACACAATATACATCATTATTGATATTATTATTATTATTATTATAGCAGTATTCCAGTAGTTTTATTTACAGGCACATCTGCAGCCAGTGTTCTTATAAATTCCAAGTTGATGGTGGGTTCCTTGGTCCTTTGGATTTTGAAAAACGATTTCCAAAACCTGGGGACAAAAAACTGGATGAAAACAAGTACTTTTATGTAGAAATGAATTACTTGGACTTTAGAATACAATATTGAAAAAGTTAAGCACCCTCTTTGATCAATTTAATAATAGACTGTAAAGGCATTATAGTAATTAAAGTTTAAATGAAATAGAATATTGTTTTTGCTATACTGGAGATCAAACTAATGGCCTTGTATATGGTAAGGCACACACCTCCAACCCAAATACTAATATTAAAATTTAGACCACTTACAGATTAATTAATGGTAATAATTGTATAAAGAACCATGATTATAGTACCCTTCAATAACTGAGTACATAACACTGTTTATCTGTTGTATTCAACCACCACTGATCACAAAACAAATTTCATTTTTATAAAATTTGTGGTGATATTGTGTTCCCCAATATATTGTGCACCCTAATAAACTTATCTGGGGTCAGAGAATAGAACAGCCACTAGATATCGAAACCAAAAAATGGTGGCACACACACACCTTTAATCCTAGCATTCCAAAGGTAGAGATCCATCTGATCTCTGTGAGTTCAAAGCCACACTGGAAACAGCCAGGCATGGTGACACACGCCTTTAATCCCAGGAAGTGATGGCAGGGAGGCAGAAAGGTATATAAGGCGTGAGGACCAGGAACTAGAGCCTCTGGTTAAGTTTTTAGGCTTTTGAGCAGCAGTTCAGCTGAGATCCATTCAGATGAGGACACAGAGGCTTCCAGTTTGAGAAAATGAGATCAGCTGAGGAATTGACGAGGTGAAGTGGCTGTGGCTGGTTCTGTTTCTCTGATCTTTCAGCGTTCACCCCAATACCTGGCTCCGGGTTTGTTTTTATTAATAAGACCTTTTAAGATTCATGTTACAAAAATTAAGCACTATTATTTATGTGCTATTACTAAATCTAGTTCTATATCTATGCAGCCACAGAAATTCCCAAGTTTATTAAAATATTATGTTTCCAAAACTCAGAAAATAAAAAGCAATCCTGAAAGAAATATCTGTTAAATAAGTTTTCATCACTTTTCTTCCTGAAATGTACCTCCCTTTCCTACACAAAAAAAGAATAAGAAAAAAACTTCACATAAAATAAAGGCTGTTAGTGGGTTCTTTCAAAAAGAATTTCAGGCTGATATTTATTCTTTGTCACCAGCAATATATGTCTTTTTCTTTGATTGTGCTAGATTTTCAAAGCATCTTACACTTATCAACTTTGGTGCCTTAAATTGAAAAATGACATGTTTGGAACTTAAAGGGAGAACAGAAAATGAAAAACTCAGAGATATGCCTAATACTTTAATTTCATCACCTTTCCTAGTAACTGCTTACATATATGACTACATTTAAGTCTGAAAAACAAAACTAGAGTAGGCTGGGTATGGTGGCAACTGCCTGTAATCCATGTAATCCAAATACACAGGGGATTAAGATAGGAGGATCACATGTTCAAAGCCAGCCTGACATATGTAGCAAGACACACACACACACACACACACACACACACACACACACACACACACACACACACACCTGTATGGCAGAGCTGAAAGAAACATTTAATATTTATTAACTAGTGATTTTAAATGTTGGGAGAAGTGTACAGAGCCTATTTCATATACATTTTACCTCACTGAAAATAAAGAGAAGGAAAAGTATTCAGATTGAATAGTTCACATAGCAAACCCATCTCCTCAGCACAGGCACCTTAACTGTAGCCCAGTACACTGGGAAGAGGGATGATGACATGATACATGACCGCTTAGAACAACAAAAATTTCAGATGCCTTTATTTGATCTGATTCACTAGCCAATTCTTGATATTTTCGAACAGCTTTACACTACTGTTTTCTGCATATGGGTCAATTCAGGAAAAGTAAACCTGAACCACATGCTTCTTTTTCTTTCAACTTAGGGAGGGGGGGGTGGATGAGATAGAATCTCCCTATGCAAGTCCAGCATGGCCCTGAAGTCATGATCCTCCTGCCTCCACCTTCCATGGGCTGGGATTACAGGTGTGCATCATCAGAGCAACTTAAATATTTTTAAGTAACATATTCTTACAATTTATATTGTCACTGTTAAAGGGAGAAATGAAATATAAGTGATGCTTTCAAGTACACAAACTGTTGAAATCCAGGCATGTTTGAAAAGAAGCAACGTGGACACAGCTAAGATTTTATCTCAGAGCCACAGCAATGTAAAGTCAGATGGTCGGTACATCATTCAAGTGATGTAGAGGCAAAGTTGCATGTTTTCTTCATAGTCCATACAATGTCCTAGATGAATTTTTAAGTAATTTTATACAAATCTTAGCTTTTAAGTTATAACTATTGAAACATTGCGTTAATGAAATGCAAACCAAATTTTATAGCTAAAGAAACAGAGCACTTCTAGTGAATATTTTCTCAAATGAGACAAAAACTGTAATGACAGCAACTGCTCCCGCATTTTCTGCTTCTTCCTCTGAAATGAAAGTCTGTTTGGGCATTGTGTGTCTGCAGGTTCTGGTCTTCCTACAATCTTTAAAATTAATTTATGTTATGTCTGTTGGTGTTTTGCCTCCACGGCTGTGTGTGCGCACCATATGCTTGCAGTACCTGCAGAGGCCAGCAGGAGGCATCAGCCCCTCTGGAATTGGAGTTACAAACAGTTGTGAACCACTGTGAGTGCTTAGAATTGAAGCTGGGTCCTCTGGAAGAGTATCCAGTCCTCTTAATCACTGAGCCACCCTTCCAGCCCCAATTTATATACATTTTAAACTTTGCTATAAAATAATACACATACCAAAATTCAGAAAGGAGCTGGAATTTTTTGGCTGAACACATTCTGCAGGCTTGCTTGGCGGGGAAGAATTGCAAACACCTGTAATCAGAAGAAAACTATGTCAGGTAAGAATGACAACAGATTTAGATTACTGTTTATTTGCTTGCATGATTATTGAAATCCCAAATAATACTCCAAAATGAATATATCAGTATCATGTTAAACATGTTCAAAATTGTTAAAATTATATTTTTATATTAGAAGTATTATAGGGAGAGGAGGGAAAGTCTCAGTCTATAGGCCTGAACTCACTATGTATCCCAGGCTGGCCTTGAACTTGTGGCACTTAATCTGTTTGCAAACAAAACAGATTATGTAACAAGACACAAAACTAAAGAAAATTGTCAAAGGAATGGTGTTGTGGAATATTACTTTAACTATGTAAAGGTGTGTTACATTTGCTTATGCTGCACTTGTTTAATTGTGTAAAGGTGTGTTGCTGTTTCACCTTGCCTGCCTAAGGCACCTCCTGATTGGTCCAATAAAAAGCTGAACAGCCAGTAGTTAGGCAGTAGAGGGATAGGTGGGGCTGGAGGGCAGAGAGAATGAGTAGGAGGAGAAATCTAGGCTTGAGGAATGAAAAGAAGAGAGAATGAGGGAGTAGGAGGGGAGATGTGGGGTCAGAAGCCAGGCAGCTGACAGCCAGCCAGACACAGGAAACAGAAAAGTAGGACATACAGAATAAAAGAAAGGTAAAAAGGCCCAAGGCAAAATGTAGATAAAGAGAAACAGATTAAAACAAGAGCTAAGACAAGGCCGAGCATTCATAACTAATAACAAGTCTTTGTGTCATAATTTGGGAGCTGGTTGGTGGCCAAAAAGAAAACCCACTTCTTTAGAATTCACCTTTGGCTTTGGAGTTTATCTTTGTCGAAATGATGAGTTTATATTAATTTATCTATGGCAAGCTGAGGTTTTTCTTATATTGTCCTCTACTCCTAAATCTCTTACTTTGCAGCCATTTTTTTCTCATAGGTGATTCTAAGTTAGAGCCATAGTCTCTCAAAGGCATTGTTATGTTGCTTCATTTGCTGTTGCATTTACCATGTTTAAGACTAAAACTGTGTGTGTGGTCCTAACACCTTAATATAAACATATATCAGTTTCTACCAAGTTTTAAAAGGAATTCTGTAAAACTGGATCTACATTATACATGTGCATTGTCTTATAGGAATAAAGGTTTCTCAGGTTTATGTAAACTTTCTCAAAAACAGCTTATAAGCAAGGAGAAATTACTACATACTTTTTTATTTGTTCTTAACATTTCAAAATGCAATGTGAGAACTGCATATATATGTTTACAAATAGGTATGTAATATTAGGCTTCTAGAAACATCTAGAACATTTCCTTTCTGGAGTATACTTGAGTATTAATCACTAGAATACACAGTAGATTTCAGTTGTTTCCAATTCAGTACATACTAATACTGTGTGTCAAGAGCTGGGCTAGGAACTGAGGGTAGACAGGAATATATTGGGTGAAGACAGGGATGTGCAAGGATGTCAATAATCTCTACATGTGAACTGAGAGAATATATTTGTCCCAAAGAATACTGTTTATTTTTCTTTCTTTGTTTTCCTTTTCTTCCTTTAAAATTTTTTTACTTTTTTATGCACACTAGGTTTTTGTTTTGTTTTGTTTTTTGCCATAGGTGTTGAGTCCCCTGGAACTGGAGCTATAGACAGTTGTGAGTTGCCACGTGGGTGCTGGGAATCGAACCCAGGTCCTCTGGAAGAACAGTCAGTGCTCTTAACCACTGAGCCATTTCTCCAGCCCCCCTTCCTTTTTTTTTTTTTTTTTTTAAAAAAAAAAGGCAGCAAATATTCAGCAGATATATATTAGAGGGAACTGATATTTTACCTATGGCTTGTCTCAAATTATTTTTATGCTGCCTGCTCAACATGTATTCTTCAGATAAAAACATCTTATTTTTTCCCTTTACATCCTCCCCAATTTTCAGTTTCCACACGTCAAGTGGAACTATTTCTACTTGTAGAAGAATGAAATGACTAATAACTTGGGCTGGCTTCCATTGCTGGTACATTGGCATGGTCACACCAGATGTTTAGGTCTGATCTCATTACTAAGTAATCAGTGACCACATGTAACTACGTGGCTAAATATAAGACATATTATCTTGCCTAATTGGAATGTTAAATATACTGTTAAGAATGGATTCAGGCAGGGGCAAATGAACCAGGCCAACATCAGGCCAGTTTACACTAGTCATCAGACTGTTGCTTAAGCAACCAGGAAGAAGCTAATTTTTTCCATCAGAAGCCTGAAACCACATGGTAAAAAAATCGGCCTATGAGTAAGCTTATAAAACGAGACAAAGCTGGGGCTAGAGAGATGGCTTGTTAGGTAAAGCGCTTGCTGAGCAAGCATGAGGCACTGAGTTCAGACATCCAGAACCCAAGTGAAAGGCAAAGCATGGCAGTCACGTGCCTACAGTCCCAGCATGTGGGAAATGAAGAGAGCAGGATCCCCGGAGCTCACTGACCAGCTAGTATAGCCAACTAGTAAACTCTCAGTTCAGTGAAAGACCCTGCCTGAAAAATAGGGTAGATACATGATTAAGGATGACGCCTGACATCAACCTCAGACCACACATGTAAATACATGTGTGCATACAGGCATACACACATACATACACAAGAATGACACAAAGCAATATGGAATGAGAGGTCAACTACTTAATGAATTATTTGAATTCTTAGTTACAAGACAGTGTTTCTCTTGTGCTCCAGTTAGCCTAAATTGGACATCCTGTCACTTGCAACTATAAGTATTTCTGAGCAATTAAAATGTCTCATTAGGGCTCATCTGGTAAAGCAGTTTGCTGTGTAAGTCTGAGGACATGAGCTTGTTCCCTGGAACTCATGTAAAGGTAGAAGGGGAAAACGAACTCTACAAAGTTGTCCTCCATACACAAGTTGAGATATGTGCCCCCCATCATACATGCACGTGTATACACACACACACACACACACACACACACACACACAATATAACAAAATTTACTCGAAATTTTTCCCGCTAAAAGTGGGCATCACTGGGCAGCATGGTTGGCAACTTCCATTCTTGTCACCTGTAATCCACTCTCCATACAGCAACCAGGATAAAAACAGAGTGCATAACATTTCTGTCTAAAGCCCTCTTATGGTGTCTCATGGCACTTAAACTCTACTCAGCAAGACAAATAAGAATGTAACTACTACTCTCCCATCTTTTTAGCCTCACCTTACTGTTGTAAAATATTAGTTTAAGATGTGTTACATTTGTTTATGCTGTGGAACGTTTAATGATGCAAAGATATGTTGCATTTGCTTGACTCTGTGAAGCTGTGTTACTTTGCCTGTCTAAAACACCTGATTGGTCTAATAAAGAGCTGAATGGCCAATAGCTAGGCAGGAGAGAGAATACATAGAAGGGGAAAAAGAGAAGAAGGGAAACAAAAGGAGGAAGAGGGGAGGACTCCGGGGGCCAGCCACCCAGCTACACAGCAAGCCATGGAGTAAGAAGAAAAGTATATAGAAAGTTAAAAGCCCAGAGGCAAAAGATAGATGGGATAATTTAAGAAAAGCCGGCAAGAAACAAGCCAAGCTAAGGCTGGGCATTCATAAGAAAGATTAAGTTTCCATGTATTTATATGGGAGCTGGGTGGCAGGCCCCTCCCACCCCAAAGAACAAAGAGTAATCAAACCACCAGCTACAACTTTTTTTCATTCTCTCACAATTACTCATGTTTTCTTTGCTAGCATCTGCCACAATGTTATTACGTATGTACTTGGGAACTCATTGGATTTCTGAATTCCTCACTAGTTTTCAGTTGCACAAAAGCCTAAGAGCCCGTATTATCACTGTTGACCACCACATACCAGGTCCCTTCCACAATGTCTGGCACATAGCAGGCATTTAACAAATATTCATAGAAATAAAGAAAAACAGCAGACAGAAATGCTAGCTCAAAATAACAGATAAAAATGCTATATTCATTAAAAACTTCACTGCAGACACTGCAGACTACTAAGAGATCCAGATTGGGAAAAAACATGGGGAATTCTTGGGTCATGAGTATCTGGAAGGGTGGAGGACAGGTAGACAAGTCTAAAATAATGCAGGGCTAAGCTCCAGGGTCATTGTGATGGCTTGATACTGTTCTTAGCCACCAAAGAATGTCGAATGAAAGTAGCTGAAAAACAGAAATACAGTCTAGTCTACATTTAGAGGATGCCCTGAGAGTTTTTACATAAGAGATGGCTCAGAGGTTAAGAGCACTGGCTGCTCTTCCAGAGGTCCTGAGTTCAATTCCCAGTAACCACATGGTGGCTCACAACCATCTGTAATGAGATCTGGTGCCCTCTTCTGGCCTACGGGCATACATGCAAGCAGAACACTGTATACATTATAAATAAATATATCTTTAAAAAAAAGAAAGAAAGGAAG